TTCAACTCGATACCGATACTAAGGAAAATATTCGATACTCGATACCATTTTCGATACCACAAGGATAAAAACAAAGACTCCAAAAAGACAATAAATAAATACAATAAACAATAAGAAGAATATTTTGAGGTTGTTTGCTGTGCACAATATTAAGCCAGCTTGGTAAAAAACGTACAAAATTAAAATTAAGTTTTCCTTACTTGGCTATGCTTTGCACACATAACAATGACACTAGCCAAACCAGTTAAGAAACAAAAACAATTCTCAGCAGCTGCACCTGTTACTAAAAAAAAAGTCTGAAACTGAAAAGTGCACAGAATTATTCAATCATACAGTGTTCAGAAAGTGCATTGTCCTCTATTCTGCACTTTAGATGAATGACTGTTTAGGTGCCACTGGTGGTAGAACTGTATCGATACTTTTAAAAACGAGTATTGTATCCGGATACAACGTTTCAGTATCGATACTTTTTTGAGTATCGATACTTTTGACGACCCTATCAAATAATAAATAATTGAACTTTATTGATCTCACATTGGAGAAATTTACTGCTTCATTTAACCCATCACTTTGGGGAGCAGTGGGCTGCCATTGTGTGGCGCCCGGGGGAGCAATTGGGAATTAAGGGTCTGGCTCAGAGACCCAGGGTGGCAATATGTGGGACTTGAACTTAGAACCTCAGAATTCTGAGGTCTATGCTCTAACTAGACGAATACCTCACCCTCTTACTTTTTTCAAAGTAAGACAGTGAAGGCGTCATGGAAGCGACCTGCCGACCCCTGATGCAACAGAGCACTGAACTCAAAACACCATTAACTCCAAAACACACAGATTATTCATGCATTAACAGGGATGTGCCACAAATTGCCTTCGTTTACTCACATTTAGAGCTGCGTACGTTTTTTTTCTCTCCCCTTGATTTCAACAACAGTACAGTAGAGTTCAGTGCCTTACCAACTGCCTTGCATATAACCTTTTAATAATATATTAAGAATATGAAAATAGCTTTTTTTTTTTTAAAACCTGCTTGTTTTCTGTGAATAATATACCAAAGATTTAATTACTTTCTACATCCAATCATTAACACTTAGTTAAAGCATTCCACTCTTCAGGAGGAAACATGTTAGGGGTGTAAATATGTCTGAAAGTCTTCACTCTGAACCATGTTGCAGGGTGATGTGTGTGTGTGTGTGTAATGGGAACAGCTGGCTGAGGGAATGAGTACAGAGGGAGAGGTGATGGATACGAGTAGAGCTCCTGTGACAGATGAGCTAACAGGTGTTCACCACGGCCCTCAGAGAGACGCTATTTATGAGCCAGAAAAGACAGCCAGACGCAATGCACACCACGCCACCGGCCTCCTCAATGCCGAAACACATCACAGACATCTGCACAACTTCACTCAACAAGGAGCAACGCAGCAGAACTGGCTGCAGCCGGTGGCAGGCGCTGCCTTACTTTACATAGCAGTCAGGTTGAGGTTTCATCAGCCCAATCTGTAAAGAACAAAATAAAAAACATTCATTTATCTTTTATTGTTGAATACTTAACATTAAACAAAGTTTACAGCTATAAATGAACTTAACATGTATTGGTGTTTTTATGTCGTACCTGAGGAACGATCTTTCTGCCACTTTATTACTTCCCTGCAGACACTTTGGATTTATTCTCATCAGGAGATGCAAAAGATGCAGAATCAAACATTTAAACCCCTGCAACATAAATAATTAATACTTTCATTTATGAGAGAGTTACCAGCATGGAGTCGGTCACTAGGGTTCAGCTACCCTTTGTTTGCACCTGTGGTATAATGAATAAATTAAATCGTATTGTTAAGAAGATATTTGCAGAATCACATTTCTGAAAGAGTTCAGTTTCTTGTCCTTCACTTTGGTGCGATGATGTCAGGTAGGAGCTCTGAGCATAAGATCCTGTCTGGAAGCATCCCCGGAACGTGTCGGGTCTGCTGGGGCTAAATCACCTGGTGGGATGCTAATGCTCCCTCCTTTCTGTGGTTCCTCTGAGCTTCAGCTACTAATGTGAAGCATAACATCTGCAGCCAATGTGTGTGATTTTGCGCTTCACATTGACTCCTGAGACACTGATACCAGCCTCACTTCTCCAATGGCTGTGGTTATACTCGTCAAGTAAGCAAATTTTTTCTTCCACTTATCTATCTACAAATATGCTTAATTACAGCTTACTGTGAACTAGTTCCCATATCACTGATCCTTTGTTGCCCTTCTACTTGTGGAGGGGGTCAGAAAGTTACTTCCCAATGATTCATCCCCTAAGTCGGTCCTCGAGGGCCGCTGTCCTGCAGGTTTTAGAGGTTTCTTTGCTCCAGCACAGCTGGTTTTATTTGAAAGATGATTAACAGGCTTTTGCTCTACTGCAATCATCATAACCAGCTGTGCTAAAGCAGGGAAACCTTTAAAACCTGCAGGACAGCGGGCCTCAAGGACCGACTTTGGGGATGCCTGCTTTAACAGTATAGTTAGCAAGTTCATTCAAGTGCAACACCTTAGCTTTTCCAACTTTCACATTTATATTTTCTGGGACACGGGATATGGTGTTTAATGAAAATTCTAACAAGGCTTGAAATATTTCACTTTATGCTTATGCAACTAAAGTTGAACTAAATCAATCTACCTGTCTATGAGAGAGAAATATAGAAGACAAATATAAAAGTTTTCATATTATTCTAGATTTTTTTTCCCTATACCTGAATGCAAACATCAAGTTTGAAGTGTATATTCCGTAGGTGCAAAAAAGAAAAACTTAAAAAAAAAAAAATCCAGGAAGCTTCCTGGAGAGGTGGCGAAACGTCTTCAAATCTTGGAAGCCAAGTTTACTTTAACGGAATGACCATGACCTGGATGACTGAGAATCTTCATCAGCATTTGAAGTGTATACCTAGCCTTTTATGACTCTGGGTTCTATTTGGTGAATTTGCTCTAAAAAATGTTCATAAACTTTCTGACCTTTTTTGGAAATCACCTAAAGCACCTTTAATATTTTAGTGGTTGCACGATGTTCTATAACAGGGATGTCAAAGTTCCAAAAAGGGCCGTGTGGCTGCAGGTTTTCTGTCCAGCCAAGCAGTCTTTCTATCTTTTCAACACACCAGACTCCAGTCATCTCATCAAGTGAGTCCAGTCTTAACATGATGACTTGATGAGATGGAGTCTGGTGAGCTATTGCTTGGTTGGAAAGAAAACCTGCAGCCACACGGCCCTTTCTGGAACCACTTTGACACCCCTGTTCTATAATTTCTTAAAATGGAGAAAATACATTTTGCAACGAAAGGAAACGAGGACAAATTAAAAAATGAGGTTCCTTTATGGAATATTTAGATTTTTGTTTATTCAGTACGTGTTATATGTAACGGTCTTTAGATTTGGTTTAACTTATGTCCATTTTAGGAATATTGTTTCATGGGAGGAAAAACAAGAATATGGAATGATGAAATTTTGTATTTTCTTACATTGATTTTCTCTTGATTTTACGTTATTACATCATTTCTACTCACCCATATTAGTTTTGTGTCTTTTGGAGCTGTTCTGAAGATATTCCGTTGGGTTATAACAAAGTAACGTCTTCCTATGGGCAACGAGTTGAACACACAAACTAAACTGTTCATAATTTATCATTTATGGTACGCCAGCATTCATAACATGTAGGCGAATCACTGTCCCCCAGACATCCGCAGTTATATTTTTTATATTTATATCTTTTAAAAACAAAGTGAATTGTTTATGACGTCATCCGCACACTGGACTGGAGTTGTAATCCGTTTCTGCAAACAAATTTATAAATAAAAAAAATGCACCCTGCAAAACAGTACAGATAGGTTCTTGGTCTCACCAGAAAATTAAGATTTAGAGGAAATATAGGAGAGTTGTCCATATTAATTTCTGGGGTTCTTTTGTGCTCAATTTAAATAAAAGACATTTCTTTTTTTGTTGATTGTTAAAATCATATTAAGTTGCTATATTTCACTGCTTTGGATCAGATTAAGTTACTTCTGACTTCTTCTGAGGTGACAAAAAGAGTTTACTTATAAAAAAAGGTAAATATCCGACTCTGGTTTCCATTAAGGATGTAAATGTTTGGGTATCCATTTCATGTCCTTTTAGAATAAACATTTATTACTTATTCCTGTCAGTGAAACAAAGTCTGAGTTGTCGCTTCACAGAGGACTTCATTCTTAAAGCTTATTTCTGCAAACTGCTGGTTAATAGACTGGAAGCTGTGGGAGAAAAAAAGGAACATCATGTCCAAATGTGTCGTTTTATCCTCACCAAAACTATCATAAACCTGCTACTAGAACAGCTCACACTAATGGTTTTATTTTACAACCACCTGATATCAAACGTCTGCAGGAAAAGGTTTCAGTCTAAGTGAAGAATGTGGTTTTTTTCTGTGACAAAAGAAAAACAACATAAATAGGTTTATTGACAAAGTCCCATTTTATTGATCAGAAAAAGCATACAGATAAAAAGACCTTTGAGAGTAACTGATCATTGGTTTTCTATGCAACATTATTAATGACTGAAGGCACTTTAGCCATCGATCAATGGGGTCTGTTTAAAGGGTGGAATGTTAAGCTACATGAACAACTGGTCGGCTAAAGAATTTCACTAATTTATAGTTTCCTGATGAGAAAGTCAGTCTGTTCTTTCCGTCCCTGGCAAGTAAAAAGAGTCGATTACAGCAATGAGGAACTGAAGCACTGGTAACCTGATGCAGATGGAACTATGGAATGACAGGAGTGTCATTTTTTACAAAATAAAAAAAAAAAAGACATAAAAAAGTTAGAAAAAAAGAAATTATTAAATGTAAAAACTGATATGTATGCAACTTAAATGTCTATTTTTGTATTCATCTGAATAAATTAGGTCTTTCTGCTTTACTTATGTTAAAACAAGCATCATTGTTGTTGAACCCAAATTCTTTTAATGCAAAAAAAAAAAAATGAAAATAAAACATATCTTTTATTAAAGTATTTATTTTTATATTTATTTTCCAATTTATTAATTCCTTTTTATTTTTTATTTGTGGCACTTCTATCATTCCATCCGGTCCAGATAAAGGGTCAGTGTTTTAATGAAAGGAGTGCTGTCAGTATTCTTTGTTTTGGCTGAAAATGGCAGCTTTGTAAAAAAAGTCGTTTAAGTGTCACATCTTGAATTGCACAGCATTATCTGTGAAGCTTTCTTAGTGAGGGGGAGAGCAATCCAGCCAAGATTTCCACATATTTATTCTGATAATTCAGGACGATCCTTTCGAAACATACCAGCATATTAAACTGCAAATACTGAGCAGGGTTTTGTTGCTTTCAGTTCTTCTTGAGCTAAGCCTCCCGGATTTTAGGAGTGTGTCAGGCACTTGTTAACAGAACCAGACCCGTCCGGAAAAATGGGAATAAAATATGTGAAATCTTTAAATCGGAATCTTTTCCCTTTGATCAGGACTTTACGCCTGTGACAGGGCTTGTTTGAGATCTCTGAGCAACATGGACGCCATGATGGTCTTCTCTGTGTTGATGGTGAGGAGTGCAGCGGAGGACTCCTTCAGCTCCAGTGTGACCAGGACCAGCGCTCCGCTGCTGACGGTTCGGCCAGCAAACCTGCAGGACCACAAAACGGCAACAAAGAAATGAGTGAATTGTGACTTTTAAAATAATGGGAAAACTAGCAGATTGCATGACGATAGAAACCTTATAAACCATTCCACCTCATATGCACAGCCATTCAATTCCACATGATCTGCTTCTTGTGGGAATTCAAGATTCAGGAATAAAATCTTAAACAACTACAAGATTTTCATCATTTTAGCAAAGTTAAAATGTCCAATATTTTTCCAAATCACAAACTTTAAAATTAACGTTCATAGAGTAGATAGCCTTCAGATGTTAAGTAAGGCAAGTCTGTGTGTGATTTAAACTCAGCTAAAATGACTTTGAGGCTTTGTGAACATCAGAGGACAAACGGCATCATGAAGACAACTGGAAAAAGCAAACTGATCGATAGAACGAAAGCTGCAGGATGCAGCCAAAGACAGAAGGGTGGAAGTTCAGCTTCCACCTGCACAGAAAGTCTAAACACAAAGCTAGAGCTACAGTGGAAAAGTTTAGACCCAAAGACATTTTCCTGTTTAAATTTGGACACAATCTAACTAAACTTAAGTCAACTTTGAAAATGGATGCAAACAAAAATAAACTGCAGTCAGGAATTAAACCAAAAATAATTATAAAGTCTAGCAGGAGGGGCAAAATAATCGGATTTGAGTTAAACCAGCAGGAAAAACAAACATTCCTACATCTCTTCTAGCTGCCTATGAAGCACATATGTAGAAATAAACGTCTGACTGCAGCTGGAAGGGAAACCCCATGACAAAAACAGGCAAATATGATGCCCAGTCCAACCGTTCTACAGGCCTGCATGCAGAGGACCGACAGAGAGTCTATTATCCGGTGGGACACGCCCTTTATCCCCCTCAAACTGCTCTCAGCCTCTTTTTATGGACTGTGGGAGTCTATGACTGTGTGGGAGCTCTGGGATCATCACTGGGGACGCCCCCCCTTCCCGTCCCACCAGCTCCCTCTGGGCCATGCGGAGAATTCAGCCTCCCGTTTCCTTGGATACCTTCCCTGCAGACCGAGGGCATATCTGGGAGCACATGGTCCCCATTGAGGGAGCTAACAAGAGGTAGACAGAGGCTGTGACCCAGCGTGACCCTCTTTGAGCATGACGGTGTCGAGCTCTGCTGCGTGCTCTGACGTGACGCATCCCCAGCCATCTGCCTCCATTTAACACGACATCCCCACAACAAAGACCCCCTGCGGCAGCCCGCTTAGGCCTGACAAACAGCCCACAAAGGAACCCACTTAGGCCTGACTAAAGCCTGTAAAGAGTCCCCGCAGGACGGCCTGTGGACGGCCGAGAGCCCGCGGCGCCGTGCGGCGCAGAGACAGGGTCTAACACATCCACCAATTAGCCCGCACACATTACAGACAGGAGGGGGGGGGGGCAAAGCACAATGAAACAGTGCTGGCTCACACAAACGGCAGCGTCTCTGGGGAGCTGCTAAATTACCATCAACAGACGAGAGGGAGTTTATCAGGGAGCCCTCAGCGAGGGAAGAGAGAGTCTTCCTTGGACTTAATTAAAATATTAGCCACTTCAGCAGGAAGCGGCTCATTCAAGACGAAGATGGATTTCAACCAAAAAAAAAAAAAAAAAAAACCTCTTTGTTCTGCTTTAATTTCTTTAAATCATTCAGTGATGGTAAACCAGTTCTAATTACTCAACAGGCGCCCATGCTGCGACCCTGGCCTTTTCTAAACCCTAAAATGAAAAAAACAAAAAGATATTTCTTTATTTTAATGTGACAAATAAACATGCATAGATGCTTTGTTTCCTCTGACCCCCCTCCCTGTCAGTAGCCTGGGGTGTCTATGTGGTCCCTGTGGCTTTGCTAATGGATTTAGGATATAAATCTATCATTTATTCAGCTGGTTAACACCACCCTCAGGCTGCTTTCATTTCATCTCAGGAGATGCTGAAGTGTGCCCCCGAAAGCGCAAGACCGCCTTTGATTTCTGCTGCCTTTTTTACGGAGTGCTTTGCAGTTGTGGGCGAAAAGAAAAAGAAAAAAAAAAAGGAAAAACAGCAACGACAAAAAACAAAGAAATAAAGTCAGCACATCTGGATGTAGCACAACATCAGTGCATCTACACGGAGCAGGAGGGAGCGATTAAGGTGGAGCGTGGCCCTTAAACGGGTCATTGGTATTCTGCTCTCTCCGTATAGCTGGCTAAAAGCTGGATTAATTGCGGCGTGTGGAAAAGAAAAGCAAAGCATAACCCCTGGACTCAAAGCAGGTGGATTGACATCGATCGCCGGGGCTGCGGCTAAGCATCACTCTCCAATTATCTGTGATTCTCTCCGCACCGAGGAGAGCCTAGAATTGCCATCTGCCTCTCCTCCACCCTGCAAACACAACCCGGGATTCACCTTTACACAGGCTTCCTACGGACTCTTTAGATCCCCACTTCATTCATACCCCAGCTTATATTTCCATTCTTTTAATTCAAATTTAAAAAGGCTTTTCTAAACACTTAACAAGATCTCAGTGGGTGTTGATAAAATACAGCAGAACAGATGTTTTCCTGTTCATTTAAACACATCAGAAAATAAGAGCTGACATTATTTCTGGCGTTCAAAGTTACATAAAAGCTCAATAACATCGGAAACCTATGAGATGATGCATAAATATTTATCATTTCTGCTGTAATCTAAACCACAACCAAGAAATGTGAAGCACCACTACTCTTTCCTGTTATAGGCTTTAAATAATTTAAAATGACAAAGAAATCTTAAAAATAAAAGGCTTTAAAGATCGGTTCCTAACATTGTTGGCATCTTGAAATCGTTTGTGGAGCTGTTAGGTTTTATCAGCTCCATGTTCAACAGATCATGAAATAATGCTGAAGTTGGCTTCTAACCATTTGGTTAAAGGTCATTTCACAGCTTTTTATTTTATATTCTATCTATATAAGTATAAACACACACATATAAGGGGAGGGCATTTATCGTATTGTGATAAGTTTCCCCTCATGACAGCAACTTAAATGATTAATTAGAATCAAAGATTATTAAAAAAATTCCAGAAGCTGAATTTTTATTTTCAGTTTTTACGTTTTTTTCCTTTTTATTCCATCCGGGCATTAAAATTTTATTTACTCATATAAATGTCTTTATTGTTCAAAATTATTATTTGTGATTGTGAGGCTATGATTGCTGCGTTAAGCCGTCAGTTACCTAAGAAAAACTGCAAACTAAAGTGTTTTCTTTAACCACCACTTTCATCGTTATCACAATATTACCCAATATTTTAATAAAATCTGCCCCAAGACATCTATATCCATCTATATATTTATATCTATAGTTCTATAGATATAAACATAGAACTCTCACAGACAGACAGAAAAAGATTAATAGAATTTTCTGTTTATAAAGATGTTTGGAAAATCTGGATTTTTTTCTCCCGTATGATCTCCTTGGGCTTCCGTAGCCCATAGTTTGTTCTCAGACTGGCTCACGGTGTGATACCACCAGCTGTAAACATTTAGTGTTTCATTTTTTTTATTGTTTCTAGTGAAACATGATTGTTTTACAGCTTGAGTTTTGTTGCCCTTTAAATTAAGGTAACATCCCACAAGAGATGATCTTCTTTAAAGCTAATTTTAATGTTTTTTTTTTCTTTTTCCTTTTTTGTTGTTTTACTTTAAAATGAAACGGAGGAGAAAATAAAAATGCGTATTCTGATTTGGTTGGAAATCAACTGGAAATATATGAAAGAATCAATCCGGATTTTAAAACGCCACTGATCAAATCTTTAACATAGCATGTGAGGTTTTACACCTTTATTTTATTTGTAAAAGATTTCTAAAAATATCAGTTTCAATCAGGAACAGGTTAGTATGAAACAATACGGGAACCCTGATAGAAATAGAAACAGGTTCATAGCATTTACACAAAGATTTTTTTTAGAAAGCACAAATCTTTAAAAATAAATGGATCTGCTTTTATTCAGATCAGAAAAAAAACAATACCCTACTGATACCATTTATTTATATTTTGACAAATAGAATAAAATCACCGTAAAACACCTGGTAAAGTTAGTAGTTCCAGAACGCCTTCTTGATTTTAGTTGTATAATTGGAGGAGCTCTCTGCTGGTTGCCATAAAACTAAAACATTTTAACGTCATTAGTAAGTTAATGGGGGCACCCTGATGTAGTTCCTAGCAGCAAGTTGTGTTTATCTTGCAGCTGAAGGAAAAACAAAAATAGAAAATCTAGGAGTAAGCAGAATCTGGCCTTCTGACTGGCAGTGTGCAGCAACGGGTGAGGGAAAGGCAGCGCTACTTTTACTATAATCCAAAGAGATGGAGAAAACTCTGCCACCGTCTGATTAAACCGATATTTATGGAACATTTTTGCAGTTTTTAACAGCAGCGTTTAAAACTACAGCAGAATCCCTGCTGGCTGCGCCTTGATGCTCGCATGTAACTCGCCCTGCAGGGCGTCTGCAAGTTTCAGAAAGGTCCATTTAAATCCTTTTAGACTATTATTCATTTTATATTAAACAACTGTCTATGCAAATCCATAGTGGTACCTGTTCTGGTAACCTGTTAAGCCACCTGTTACGCTGTCCTATTGAGGCCAAAGCTTTTTAAATGTGATATCCTCAATGATGAAGAAGTTAGTTATGGACTTTTTAATTTTACTTACTTCAACATGAACTAAGTCAGTTTAAGGAACAGAAATAATAAGGTTAAATTTAAAACAAATGAACTAAATAGAAGTTTAAAACCTTTTAGGATCTAGAATTGAGATGATTAAAGTTGTTAACCCATTCAAAGCATCGCCTTTGATAGTGTTCAGTTTAAGAAGCACAAGTTTAGTTCGAAGAGGTTAAAAAAGCATGAATGTTTTTTTAACTTTTGCCAGGCAGAAACTGAGCAATCAAACTAAATATGAAACATCAAACACAGGATGTGTGTTCAAGGACAAAAGAAGAGATTTTTATTGAAAGGAATGAGAAATGAAATATAGTTTATC